CACTTTGTATCCCTCGTTTAAGCACACATAAGCAATGTCGTCATCGCCCTCGCCACCTAGACCCTAGACTTATCCTAGTCCGATGATCAATATGTGGCGTTACCAAATTTCCCCAATTGCCAGGAGGATTTGAATGTAATAAGCAAGCTCAAATCCTGATGCATTGGGTTTTATTGTAGGTTAAGTCATTATGAGGATTTCACTGTTGATTTAATTAAGGAAGCACGGGTCACGTCTCGGTGCATCCTGGTGTCTAGTGTCTTGATCAGTTTGTGAATTAGGGTCAAGTGTCTAGTTTCATTGTGCATTTAAGGATCAGGTGAATGAGCTCTTACCTAGGGTATGTTCCTAAAACCTTGGGAGGTTACACTGCAGAGATTAGGTAGATGGACTCTCACCTAAGGTGTGTACTTAAACTCTAGAAAGCTTACACTGAGGATTAGGTGGATGGATTCTCACCTAGGGTGTACACCTAATGTCTAAGAGACTGAGGACTAGGTGGATAGATTCTCACCTAGGGTGTGCACCTAAGGTCTAGGAGGTCTACACTAGGGATTAGGTGGATAAACTCTCGCCTAAGGTGTGCACCTAAGGTCTAGGAGGTCTACACTAGGGATTAGGTGGATAGACTCTTACCTAGGGTGTGCTCCTAAAATCTAGGAAGCCTATATTGAAGGCTAGGTGAATGGACTATCACCTAGGGTGTGCATTTAAGGTTCTAGGAAACCTACACTTTAATTTATGCTTAAAGTGGTTTAAGGTTTTCTACATATTCCAATTAGTTAAATCATCAATCCCCGTCTTTATGACTTAACCATTTAAAAAGAAGTAAAACAAAAGAAAAATGGGATAGACCCACTTCCAAAACTAGTAAAGTCAAGGGAGTAAACAACGAGTGGATCGACCTAAAAAAACGTTTAAATAACAATCAATTGAAACCCGAAATAATGGGCAAAAAGGGGTTTGTAAAACCAATTTTAAACCGCATGTAAATCTGCACTTAAAGGCTACATAAATCTCGCCAAAATAATGTGTAGATTGCCTTAAAATTAGCCCACCAAAATGCCTCAAAACACCGATTAAAACAACCCCGCAGATGGTGGGTTTAATGCCTCCAAAACAGTAGGCAAAGCTCTCAAAATCAGCCCCAAAACAATAGACAAAGATCTCAAAATCAGCTCTTAAACAGTAATTTTAAAATTCCCAAACGGCTCTCATGTAAGCTCAAAACAGTGTGCAAACCTCTCAAAATCAACCAACAAACGCACCCCAAAACGATGCCCAAACAGTGTGTAATTAGTCCAAGAAAAGGAGTTTACAGTCTCCTAGATTGCAGCGAACTCAGCCCAAAACAGTCCCCAAAACATCATTTAATTACCCTCCAAACAACATTAAAACAACAAGTCCCTCAAAATCAGAATTTAAATGGGGCACAAAGTCTGCATTTAAAGACATCAAAACAGTACGTAAACTACTTCAAAACAGCATTTGTAAGTCTCCAAAATCTCCATAAATAAGATTGTTCAAAATTTTCATATTTTCGCAATGACAAACTCTAAAACTTTCAAACCGTTCCAGACGAGAGCATCAGAACTTTATATTTCTATCAATGTTTGTATAGGAATTTCAATAGGAATGACATAAAAAAATTCATATGTTTTTCCAAATGAAATCATTTCATGGATGAAATTTGCATAAAGGCTTGCACATGTATTCCAAATATAGGTAAGATAATATATGTATGCAACAAAGATTGGAATTCAGGCACATGAATTGAGTGGATGTGTATGCAAATCTTCCTAACTCCTAAATGGCATGTATTGTATAAATAAAATGAATAGTATAGGAACAAAACAAGGCTTCGTTACCTAGTTAGTGCAATTGTTAAGGTTCTGCCCTCCAAAACTTTTCAGAAGCTCTGAGGGGTTCTGTGTCGCTTCCTTTTCTGCCCCTGCTACCACCAATGCGGGCGAGAGAGAAGATCGGCCTAGCGATCCTGGTCCAGAGGAAGAAAGGAGTCCAGCTAGTGCGAGGCGCTCGGTCGAGAGAGACGGCGAGCCGAGTAGGGTCTGGTAACGAAGAACAGAGCGGAGGCTAGCGGCAAGGGCTGTGCGGCGTGCGAGAGCAAGGAGCAGACGAAGGATTCGACGCAGAGGAGATGAGAGCCGAGCAGGGTTTCAGGGCGCAAGAGAGGAGCGAGACCTGTCACGCAGGAGAGAGGCGCAAGCAGGGGTTCTGGTCGCGCGAGAGGAGATGGAGCAGACGAACGAGGTCGAGCAAGAAGAAGCGAGCAGTGGGCTTCGGATCGTACGAGGAAAAGAAGACGAGGGCGGAAGAGGCGAATGAGGAGGAGCTTTCGGTTCGCTGGAAGGGAGAATCCCTTCGAGCAAGGGAGACGAGCGGGATCGAGGGAGACGAGAACTGAGCTTCGACGCAGTGAACAGGAGACGGGCTGAGCCGAGCGGGGCTTCGGTCGAAACAGGCAGAGGCGAACGGGAGTGGGGTCGAGCGGCTTTGACGCAGAGAGGAGAGGCAAGACTGGAAGTCGAGCCGCTTCGGGGGCGCGGGTGGAGCGGAGGGCGAAGCAAGCTTTTCAATTGAGGGCTTCGATCCAGTCGCAGAGAGGCGACGGGATTTGACGTGGATGGCGCGATCGAGCAGGCGAGGAGTCAGTTTCTTCGGCGTAGAGAGGAAGGCGAGTGCGGGAGAAGCTCTGCTGCTTCGATGCGGGAGACGGAGGCAACGAGGAGCGATCGAGCTTGAGAGCGGGAAGCGGGAGATGATCAGGAGTT